ATGCCAAAAAGAAAAATAATTAAGAGTAAAACATTATTTTAAAAGCTATACTTAAAGACCGCACCATTAATATTTAATTTAATATGCCATTCCTTGCACACTTAAAGGTGGGGTATGTAATTTATTTCAGATACACTTTTTGTTATATTCCATGGAATGCTCTTAACATCCCGATAGCAATGAATACATTAAATGCTTTGACAATAAATACATAAAAAAATTTCATCTGTGGAAGCCGTAGCGCTGTAATAAGCACGACCAATCATCTGAGCCGGCACGGCTAAAATAACTGGATGGCCGACCTGCCTGTCAGCCTTCCATCTGTGCAGAAACGTATCTCGTGCCCTCATTGAGTCATTGGTCATGTGCACATTTGTGTGTGTTGGAGGAGGGGCTCTGTAAGGAAGTCTGAAGGAAGGGGCAGATTTTTTCCGGTTGTGTACTTTCAAATTCTAGCGCACTCGAGCTGGTTTCTCCAAAATTACCTACCCCACCTTTAATATGGTGGCGTGTGGCGCAGTGGGTTAGTGCACTGATCTTCGAATCAGAGGATAGCAAGTTTGAGTCCCACTGCAGTCAGCATGTCGTTGTGTCCCTGGGCAAGACACTTCACCCCCAAATTGCTCCTGTGGGGATTGTCCACAGTATTGAGTATGTAAGTCGCTTTGGATAAAAGCGTCTAACAAGTAACATGTAATGTAATGTAATATAAATAATATCCTTTTATATTGTGTTGGCTGTAATTTGGCCCTTCAATAGTGTTTTATTTGTCACATAGTTGTCATAGATTTGTATCTTCACGGTCAACTTGATGTTCATATTTACAATTGCTTATTTTCTACTCTTTTTCATTTCTAATTATGTGCAATGCCTCGTTTTACATTCTACTGTAACGAAGACAATTCCAAATTTGGGATCAATAAAGTATATCTTATGTGTATCTTATTTTTATTATGGTAGTTAATAAAGCAGAGAGAACCTTTTATTTCCAAGCTCATGGTACCTGATATCGCTAGGATTACATCTTCAAAGATCTCGAAGAATAAGCGATCTTTGATGACATTTCATGATAATTTAGTCCTGAATCCTGACGAGTTGGTGTTAGCTAGTCTTTCATCTAGTGCTACTATTAGGTCACTTCAATATTTACTGGATGGATTGGGGTTACATCTGGTAAAGTCATTGATGTTCCCCACTGGATGATTGTCATAAGTTGGTGATCCTCTGGTCTGGCTTTAGTTTACGCAGAACTGTAAAAGGAGAGCAGCTGCCAAAAACTGTCAGAAATGAAAATTCAAGAAAGATCTTATTAAAACAGTACCTCTGAATATGAATAAACTGTAGCCAAATTCACTTATATGTGTCGCGTGTATGTGGGTTTAAAAAGGATTGGCAAAGCTTGATTTCATCTCAAACGGCATAGCTCTTTGAAAAACTATTTGTCTGTGGATGGATGATTTTCTATCAATTTGGAGGTGGTCCACGAGGAGCTGTAAACACGACTTTCACTTCATCTTCACATCATGCTCTTCATCTTCAATGTCACCTATTTGCTTGTCTCCACCACCATTTTCAGGCTCTACGACCATGGCCTTACGTCCTGTCATTTCAATCCCTTCAGTCTAACATTACTCTGACACCAGGATCCCGGTGGTCTCTATTAATGTGTCATTATCACATTTGTGCTTTGGGTGTATGGAACTTTTACACCTCACAAAAATACAGTACTACTGCAGAGAAAGAGTGCTTTCTTTAACACCCTCTTGAACATGAGTGACACATCAATTGTATCCCATTCGAGTCAAAATGACTGAGACACAGGGATTCACATTGCTAAATACACTTTGCAATAAAGAAAAGATGAGAATAAAAAAGTAAAACTAGAAGAGAACATCGCTAAAATAGACACATTTGCGATATAACTTTCAAACTGTATGTTTGAAGCTGCAATATGAATATACTCTTTTAATTTACTTCCTCATTTTAAATGTGACACTTCTGTTCGAGAAATTCTCTGGGGAAATACATTCTGAGGATTCTCTATGCGTTGGAATGGGAAAGTGTTACACCATTAAACATCTATTAGAGATTCAGTATTGCGCAAAAGCAGAAGATACACGTCTTGTTCCTTGTCTAACACAATTGTTTCAGCTTTGCGTGGACTGCTGCTTTCACCCTCCTCTCAATAAAAAATTTCCTGGTGGCAGCATTGAAGGCACTTACAAGAGATCTCCTGACAGCGTCGCATTCACATGATATTAAATAGCCAAAGAATGCAATTTTACTCCTTCTTAAGGGAGCTGCTGAAGCTTTCAGTTGCCAAGCAATAGTGAGATAGCCGAGTGCCGCTGCAAGAGACAAGGAACTTAAACCAGGAGCTTTGCACAAACCAGTCTCTCTCAGCCCAGTTTGCTCTTCCTAAAATGTCGGATGGCATTGACTAGCATCTCCTCGATCAACAATAGCCGATCACATCATTGATTTTTGGGGTGGATAAGCAGAATACAGATTTGCAAAATGTTGCATTTTTGGACTATGTAGTACCTTTGGAAAAAAACAGAACAATACGGTTCAGAAGCAAAAGCAATTCCTTCATGTAAGAGCAAATTGATCTCAGCATGACACCTAATGAGCTACATTGTTTCTGAGCTTATCTAATGTACAGAGAAAAGTCACATTTCAGAGTCTCCAATAATTGGGCTTAGCCAAGGCCTTTCTAAATGTAAAATGCCAATGAATCACAACTTCTGCCTGGATAAATCTAACTTCTGCCGCTGAGGCCGCTAACACAACAGAGCCGGCCAGCTAACCAATCAGAGCAGACTGGGCTCTGGTTTCAGACAGAGGGTGAAAAGAGGTGCTGCAGCACAGGCAGTATGAGAAAAATAAAGAGCTTTTTGAACATTAAAGCATGGAGACACTTCACAGTAGAGACACTAAATACAAATATGACCCTGAAAATGAGCAGAATAGGACTCCTTTAAAGTGAAATGCAAAGCTGTGGAGACCTTACAAAACCTCCAACTGACGCACAAAGTAGTTTTAACATCAATACACAGCTTCCAGTGGCCCAGTGACCCAAGTATGTTCCTCCTTATTTCCCTGATGGTGAAGTAGCAGACACATCCTGAGAACTAAAGCTATTTTTAGAATTACCGGTACAGACGATTTAAAGGTTCAATTATTGAAGTCCCAAACCCGTGGGTGACTGGGATGTCTGGAGGAGGACAGAAAGGATTCTAATAAGGCTCAAAAACTAAGTGATGTATCCTGCATTTTGTGTAAATGAATGTTGGCTCTAAACATGATATTAATGAGTATAAAACAAATATTGAATAGGCACTGATCAGTGTTGTTGTTCTTGGCCTGGCCTCAACACCCATTTGGACTGTCTTGACTTGGACGTGTCATTGATTTGACTCAAGTGTGGTTGACTACAACTTCACCCGATAAACAATCAGAATGAAATCCCTCCCAATAGCTTGCTTGCTAATGGGCGGCATTTGTCAGCTATTAAAGAGGTCTAACGATCACACGGTGAGAACTTCCCAAGCAACATAAAGACGCCAAAGATCAAATTGAAGATGCATCTTGGGAAAAATAAATTGATTTCAAATGGTAAGAGGAAGATACGCAAAACAATGACAAACTGCATCAACCTGTAGGAACAGATGACTGGATGAACATTTGTAAAAACACCCTACTAGCAATGACTAACGTTTGAATTTTATTTTTTTCAGTACATTTTCAAAATGCTTGAATACATTTTTGACTACTTTGTCTACCTCCAGGTGACACACTGAGATTCTATATAAAGATTTTCCTTTATTTTAAAGAAGCTGCAGTGGTGTCAATTCACTAAATATACGTTATAACGAATGCATTGGATACCATTCACCACCAAACATGAAATTCTGATTACAATAAGTCAATTATATGTTTAAGTGAAGCAATAAAAAGAAATAATGACGAATAATCAGGTGATTTGTGTTTCGTGCATGGAAAACACTCATTAGAACGCATATCTGGGATTTTGTGCTTGATATTTTTACCATAATAATGACAGAAACGACATGCTCATATCACTCAGACTGAGGTTTAGGCAGTGAGCCACACCTTGTCACATCCCGTCTTTGATTTACTCTGACATTTCAGTGCAGGAAAATCCTTAAAGTTGTAGCTTTCAGTGAAGGCAGCATACAATGGGAGTGGGTAGATAGGTTACAGGAGGACTGATTTATTCCTCACTGGAGAGATGTGAGAAATTCATCACCAGGAACAAAAAGCCTGAGGCACCGTGGATGTTACTGCTGCTGGTAGAGACAGACAGCAATACAACCTGTGTTGAAAAGATGCCTCGCTGTAACACTTTAGATGATTTCTGCCCTGAGAGCTAGCTTATAAATGGATGCTAGGATCTTACAAAAAAGATGTTTATATAGTGAATGTAATCGATGTCATGCAGCAATCACATAAGGTATGCATAAGAGATAATACAACATATTTGGATGATATATGGTCAATTAAAACTTGTGTAATGCATGTATGTTAATGAATTATGGCAGATTACAAATTGACTTATAGTACTCACCTAAAACCATACGTAAGATTTAAGTGCATTGAATAATGTAGGAAAATTCCAACATTCCTATTTATTTGTATGTATTTTCCTATTTGTAAATGCATTAGTTTTTTGTGTATTGTAACCATATAATTCCTATACATTTTTTGAAATGATAGCCAAATACTTAGTAGCCTACAGAGATACTACAAATACAAAAAGTAGGTGCATTTTTAGCAAGGTACATTTATTCAAAACCAGTTTGGGAAACTTGCATTTTTAAACTGAATTGAATTAAGCTCATAACAACGTAGACCCTGATAACCCCGGGAAAAACACTTCCAAGAATCGCGTCGTGATTTAAGTGAATAATAACGTGAAATGAAACGGTAAAAACGTGAATGAAGAGCTCGACAGGGCGTCAATAATTCGCGCCTACCTCGCGTTTGACGTTCCATAATAATTTCTGTTTGTAGTCTTCCTCCGTGGAGCCCTCCATGTCTGCCCGTCTGTCCGTCCGCGGTGCACACGACGCAGGTCCGTCCGCTCTCAGAACCGCTCTCCCTTTTATCCCTCGTTTCCTTCTTCCTTCGCTCAGCTGGACTCTGACGCAGCCGAGCAGCTTCACGGCAACGTCAGAAGACCCGCCTTCTTCACCGTGCTGATCAATGGAGGAGGACAAAAAAACTCCCAGCATCCCACCCCGCCCCAACCTGCAGCCTCTCAGCATCAGCACACCAACCTGTAGAGTTATGTATAGCATGCATCTCCTTTATAATGCGAGGGGGGCTAGTGAACGGTCGACGGTCGACGGGGGGTGCTCAGGGCCGGCCCTAGACATTTTGGTGCCCCTGGGCGAGATTATGATTTAGTTAACATTTATTTATTCATGCATTTTTTTTTATATCTCCAGTTTTAAACGATATTTTTGGTTACTGTCCTATAGTATACATTGGAATGATTTCAAACCTGTTATTTATCCTAATAATTATAAAGGTGTGCCTTGGAAATATTTGTTTACATAAATTGTGACCAAACCGAGTGAAGCCTCGCAGCGGCGAAACTGTGGCGCGCGTACACTGTAGGTGCGCCGCATTTGCGCTTCAGATGAGGCTCCCTTCGCAAAATGAAGCACCCTCCGCAAAATGAAGCACCCTCCGCAAGCTGAGGCCCACTCCGCGAGGTCCCACGCAGTCTGCGTGATCTGTAGGGAGGGGCGGCCCTGCTCCTACTGCACAGCAGAGACACAAGCGGAGGAAACATGCAACGCATTAATGAGCAAAATGAAATACAGTCTTTTTAATGACTTCATTCAGAAGTATGGTACTGCACAATAGAAGACGTCACAGCGACATGGTACGGAGTGACCTCCTCTGGTGGACGTCATTAAACCTCCTGCTTCTGCCTCCATGTGGGCTGAGGGTGCACCTGCAACCATCAGAAGACATGTTCCCCTAACTATGCATTCAGCCTTGTCTTTCAGTTCAACATTACACTTTAAAGAAGTGCCCTAAAGTTCTCTTTTGTCACCAACATCCTGTCCTGTAGCCTACAGATTCTAACTTTATATGCAGAATCTGTTTATAGAAATGAAACTGATATTACTCATGACTTACAATGATATTGCTTGTTTTAAGTAAGTATGTCAGTACTGTTCTTGTTGTCCTTAGTTTGAATCATTATGGTTTATTGCACTTATTGTAAGTCACTTTGGATACAAGCGTCGGCTAAATGCTATGTAATAATATTGATTAAACACCTCACAGATTATACAGATTCCGATTTAATTGTTATTAAATCCTAAAGCATCATATTCCAACTGAGATAAAACAGGAATTCTCAGGAAAAAACAAAAACCCTAGCAGAAAACCCTGTATTTCACTAATAATAAAATGAAAAGACCAATCACAAGAACATTTGAATGCTTGTTTTTCTATGGCTGTATGCAGGATCTACCTTGGGTGATTAATTGAAGAAAAAAAATCTTATTTTGAGCTTAACCAAAAGAGTGTTGCAGTGATTACGTATTTGGTAACACTTTATATTCAGGTACAAATTCACCATCAACTAGTTGTTAATTAACATGCATATTAGCAGTATATTGGCTCTTTATTAGTCATTATAAAACACTTATTAATGCCTGTATTCATGTAGGGGACCTTCACTAATAATAAAATAGCAAAACATTTTTTTATGAGGTTCACTTGTTTTTTTTCATGTATTTATATCATATCATATAAAGAAATAAATAATTAAGAGTTAAAACCATGTTTTGGGGGATTAAACTGACTGATTTAATCCCTATATGTTCTAGCCTTTCAGCTAAGACGTGTTTTATTCATATTGCTTTATTATTCTCATACATTGCTCTGATTGGTTAGCTGGCTGGCTCTGTGGAGAAAAAGGAGACTGAAGTCCACCGTAGACGGACCACTTTCGGACAAAATGTTCTATCAATTAAGGGCAGCTCATTGTGGAATAGCCTCCCAACTGAGTTACGGGATTGTCTCACTTTGAACAGTTTTAAAGGTCAACTAAAAGAATGGTTGAGAAACAAACAAACGTGCAATCACCGCTAAATGCACTTTAACACAGGGGTATCTCCTCTTGCACTTTATGTAGCTCTTGTATCTCCTCCTGCACTTTATATTTCGTAGCTGCTACATTGTACTACCTTGTGGTAAATGCTTATATGCTGCTCATGCTCTTTCTGCATATCATGTATTTATTTTGCTATGTATATAAATGTCAGGTTCTTAAATGTTGTATGTGAGGGACTACGGATGGAAACTAGCTCAAAGCTAAAATCCGGCATGTTTACGTTTTAAAGCATTATTTGTTTTACATGTTCATCAATGTGCACTGTCCCTCTTCAAATAAACGATTAAATGAAATGAAAATGTTGTGATTGGTCAACCACTTAAAGATGTAGGAAGGAAAGGGAAACTCTCAAAAAGCATAATATGGTCACTTTCACTATGTTGTTAGACACTTTGAATTACATTTCTGGGACCTGTACATTAAACTGTGCTTGCCATTAATATCAGTATATCAAAAAGGACTGAAATAGTAATGGTTACTATTAACGACGTAAACGGGGGATCCTTCATTTGTACATATGTCATTATACCTGCCTAAAAACATACCCAGGACAAAATGTAGTTGAATAACAAGAACTTTTATCTTCACAGCTGGAAAAAAAGGCAATATGGTAAACTGCATTAAAACATGTTAGAGGCACTCTAATTCTGGAAAAACAGATTAATTTTTTGAAAACAGGCTCTTTTTTTGTATGTATGAAAAATACAATCTATAAATATGAAACATGCTCCTGCTGATTCAGAGTGTAAGTGCTATGATTGTTACAATATTTCTTCGTAGAAATAGTGCATATCAGTGATTTCTCCTCCCTATTAATCTCTATTTAATTTAAAATAAACTACAGTTCCCTAGGTATTTAAAGTAGTTGCTCTGAATCCTCTGATAACACTTCATAAAATGATGATGGACAGAGCAGACAACACCACAACTATCTAGAGTAAAATGTCAGATGCACTTTCATCATGTTCTTTAGATAGTGGTAAAGAAAACTATTCAAAGGAGAAACGTGTGAGGGTCGTCAGATTCCATCTCTGAATGTTCACCATCAATGTGAAATCTGTCCAGCCGCTCGTGCTCCCGGGCTTCAGTGTCCCATGGGCCGCTCTTCGTACGTGCTGTACCTCTTGATGTGGATTCGACGGACACGCTCGCGAAGCTCCGCTCCCCCGGGCCCCTCCTCTTCCTCACTGTGAGATCCGCAGCTGGTGTAGCTCCGCCGCGTGGCCTCCAGCAAAGAGTTGTCGGGAAGAGGCATTGTCTCGTAAAGCAAGGTGTTCAGGGTCTCCTCGTAGATTCGCGCTTCAGGGAACTCCACCTAAGGTAGGAAGAGAATTGTTTTAAGTGAAAAATGCATTTAATACACACACATGCCTGCAGGCCAAGCAAACTACATTGTGGTGCTAGTAGACATAAATGACAAAGTCACATCCACATTTTCTCATGACTCCATTGCCAAGATAAACAAAGGAGACATTTTTAAGGCACTTTTACACTAGCCATCAAGATCAAGGGCATACAATTTATCTCTGGGTCCAGCCAAAAAAAGGAATATTCAAACCTGCTGCTCTTTATTAGTGCGAATGTTCTTCAAATCTTTATATCTTCTTATTATTATTATTTCATTTCAACCAATATTTTGCCGTCCGATAACTTCAACCTACTTTCAGCTACAGAAACCATTCAAATATCAAACTGTTCAGCCTTTTCAGCACATGATAGGAAACCTTCAACTTTTTCAAAATATTTTATACTTTTTTAAATATTCAGCTTTTTAAACTCTTTTTTTAACATGTAACTCAATCGGAGGAGCCTTCAAATCCTCTTTTAACTACACCGTGCGCCAAATGCTTCTCCTTCCACATACTTTCAGCTAGAGACTACTTCATTCCAACTTTGAAATGATCACAAGACCTTCAGCTATAAAACTCGTTCTTCAGATTTTTCATATCTTTTACACTTTTTGAGATATTTAACTTAGTTTGGAGCTTGGTAAAGAGGCTTTCTTCAGATTTTAACATGAGTGTGTATTGAGCAGCTCGTTAAGTCTAGTTTGCTTTGATCTCAAAACAGAGTGGAGGACAGCTTGAAATTCGCCTTATATTTCTTTTTTTAAACTGCCATAATTCCCAAACCCTACACTCCTTGGACATCATTTTTTGTGAAAAACTTAGGAAAACCTCTCCTACGTTGAAAAATTTAAAAAAATTAAGAAAATAAATTAAACAAAATGCCTCCTGAGGGCATGAAGTGACAAAAACGTTCAACATGTCTCCATTAAATACCTGTTTTTTAGTTGCTAAACCTGATATTGTTGTAGTTTCTGAAACCTGGTTAAAACCGTCTGTCACTGACACTGTTATTCACATTGATGGATATAATGTATTCAGAACGGATCGTAAGGGCAGAGCTGGTGGTGTTGCAATATACACTGCTGAGAAACTACAGTGCTCTGTCCTTCATTCGATTGATTCGAAACTGCTATTGAACAGTAAGAAAACCAAAGCAATGCTCTTTGCTCCCAAGTCAGCGTCCTCTTGCCTTTCCATTGACATCCTTGATGGCGTCTCCGTTGAGTTTGTCGATACATACACATATTTGGGCTTTTGGTTGGACAGAAATCTAAACTTTAAACACCACATTGAAGTTCTAACTAAGAAATTGAAATTCACTCTTGGCTTCCTTTACAGACTTAAATGTTGCTTTTCAACTTCTTCCCGTAAAAGGTTGGTCTCTGGCTTATTCCTGTCCCAGCTTGACTACGGTGATACAATTTATAGATTTGCCTGTCCTACTGTTTTGGCCAAACTTGACCCACTCTACCATGATGCACTGCGATATATATCAAATGCACCCTACAGTATAGGACTCATCATTGCAAACTGTATAGCCTAAATGGATGGTCCTCACTTAGTATGCGTAGGATGCAGCATTGGTTTTTATTAATGTATAAAGCCATTTTAGGTAAGCTTCCACTGTACATATGTGCCAGATTTGCTCCAGTTTGTGACTCTTACAACCTCAGATCCAGTGCCTGGATACGATTCCAGGTACCTGCTGTGCGCAGGGCCGTATCCACCATTGAGGTCACCGAGGTCCGGACCTCGGTAATTTTTTCCGAGCTGTGTATATAACAAAACTTGTGAAATAACTGCACTAAACGGGGTTCTTTGTAGTACTTCCATTTACTGACGATGGGGGCGCTGCATAACTACGTAGCCTCGATTAAAGCAAACAGAAGAAGACGACATGTATCAACAAACCACCGCAGCCCGTACTTGTATCGGAGCAGCGGAGGAGTGATGAGGTATCTAGAGATCTGAGTCCAGCGGGCTGCTTGTGTTCCTGTTCATCAGGACATCATATGACCAGCAGATCCTGTGTGAACGCACTACGTTAGTCAGTGGACGTCCGACAACATGCACACTAACTTATATTGCAGCTATAGGCTATACTTTGGTTTACATTGCGTGAATAAACTAGCTAGAGAGCTAAAGTTAATTACATTCATCCAATGTCAGAAGGATTACCTTTTAACAAACGTTGCAATGCTTTTCTTTCATTTCAATTTGAGTAAAACATTGAAGATATAACATTGTATTGTTTTATTTTTACACTGACTCAGATATAATGAAAAGATTACGTCAGTCGAAGCTCAGCTTTGGTAAGGAAGAGACAGGACAGGCAGAGAGAGAGAGAGAGAAAGTGATGGAAGTCAGGGAGGAACTGCAGGTACAGTCACACAAAAGAATGTAGGCTTAATAACCCCATCTATCCATCTATCTATCTATCTATCTATCCATCTATCTATCTATCTGTCTATCTATCTATCTATCTATCTATAACTTAGTCTTCATTTACAATATAGACAATAGGCATAATTTTAAAACAACATACATCTATTGCAGTTATGATGTCATAATAACATACAATTGTATAAAACACAATTTGCTTACATCTTTGTTCTCTTGAGAATCAAACAAAACAGATTTGTATTTTAAAAAGAATGCAAACAAGTGAAATGAAATAAATTGCTGAGTTGCTTTTAATTCACTGGCAGGAGCGACAAGTGAGAAGGAGCAAAAAGTGAACAACGAGGGAGAGATTGAACAAAGAGAAAGAGTAGAGGACAGAGAGAGTAATGAACAGGAAGAAGACAGAGAGACTAAAGAAGATGGAAGAGAGGGTGCAGGTTATGGAAAGGAGAGAGACATGGGAAATTAATGTTGACAATGTGTTGTGATCATTGTAGCCTCTTCTGCATGTCCAGATCATTAATAGTAACAATCAACTGATTCTTATGCATTACACTTTCAAAAATAATTTATGCTGCAGCCCACTGACATGGTTTGAAATCAATGTATTATCCAATTTGTGACCCCCCACAGGACTTAAAAAGCACCTAACTAGATCATGAAAATCTCTAAAATCTCGGAGGGGGGTACACCCCCGAACCCCCCTAGCATGTTTGGACCTCGGTATTTAGGAAATCCTGGATACGGCCCTGGCTGTGCGGACTGAGGCTGGAAAAAGGAGTCTTTTTCATTATGGTCCTTGGTCTTGGAATGACCTTCAATCACGCCTTAAACTGACGGCACTTGTCCCTATAGCCTGTTTTAAATTGAAGTTGTCTGAGGTCCTTACCACCAGATGCTCTTGCAGTAATAAGTAGTACATTTCTTACTGTCCCAAATGTGCACAATGTAGTGACTGCTTTTCTTTTGTTTTTTTTGTTTAATTAGTTGTGTTCTCTGTATTTTATATGTCTGTGTTATGTGTAAAAATGTGTAACGCTGCTGCCTTCTTGGCCAGGTCAGCATTGTGAATGAGATTTTATCTCAATGCTTTTTATCTGCTTAAATAAAGGTTAAAGGGGACCTATCATGCAAAATGCACTTTTGTACGTCTTTTATACATGAATATGTGTCCCCGGTGTGTCAGGGAACTCACCAAGTGTCAGAAAACAAAACCCTCTCTCTTTTCCTCCATACCCAAATCTCTAAAAACGGGGCTGCAACGGAGCCGATACAGATTTGAATTTTTCTGACATCAGAAAAGGGGTGCTCCGCCTATATGGGCAACTCTCCACCTATCAGGGGAATGAGAGACCGCTCGAAAGCGCTGGAGATGCTGTAGTACATATGCCAGGCCTGTAAGTGGCGCTGTAGTCTGCCACAAAAGCAGCGAAGAAGACTTCCCGCGCATGGTTGCCATGGTTGCCCTTCTGTTTATTCTCCGCTGTGGACGCTGTGGCTCTTTTTCTCCCTCCCCGAGGCAAGCGTTTGCTCCTGCTGCTGTAATTCTCTCCGGTTTGCCACCAGCAGATGACAAACACCCACCTCTCCGCCTCTTCCAAGGGACGAGGGGACCGTGCGGCAGAGTTTCAGTTAAAAAAAAATGTGCCGGTCAACATGTCCGTTAAAGTTGAAATCTTCTGGACAAAATTAGAAAAGTGCCGGTCAAAGGTCTTCTTTGTTATTTATTGAGCTTTAAAACAAATGAATAATGACTCTATATAATAATATAAGAATAATACACGGAGGACGGAGCCTCTCTTTTCCTCCCTCTCTTCTGAGAGCCTAGCAGCTGATCTCAGAGTACGCTCCCCTCTCCTGCAGGGGGGCGTGGTCAGCTGCAGCTCATTTGCATTAAAGCTACGTCACAGAATCAGCCCTTGCAAAAACAGGGCTGGAAAAGAGCAAATAGAGCGAAATGAGGCATGGCTAAAATGCATGATCTGTTTGGTATTTTGAGAAAAAAAACTTCACAGACATGCTTTATATAGGTATGGCCCTACAATATATGTTTCAAATATAGCATGATAGGTCCACTTTAAATAAAAAAATTAATAAAAAATTAAAATATTAAAATTAAGGCCCATTGTAAATCAAGTCTGATCTGTCCTCAGAGCAGCAGCTGCACACCTTTAGTAAATATGCCAAAAATGCCACATTATGGACCCGAAAGTACACAAAAAGCAGATTCCGACGCTCCTCACGGTCCTGAAATCCTCCACGCGTTGACATTTTATGAAAGCAGCTACCGTTTTTAAACTATAGTTAGAAATGTAAGAGGTTTATTTCACATTCAGAACAATAGAAAGGCTCTCCTTTCACAGCACATCTCCATGGAAACCTTTGATCTCTGGGCTCACGTACCCAGATGTTTGATAACGTCGTCACCGTGGTAACCTTTGATCTCTGGGCTTACACACACACACACACACACACACACACACACACACAGGTGTTTGAAACATTCATTCACTACTACTTACATTTAATATCTAACTCCTTCAGCCTACTTTGAGCTACAGAAACCATTCAACTATTAACTTATTCAGCTATTTCAGGACATTGAGGTTATACATGTTGTTGTTTATACCTTTTTTAAACCTTTTCTTTTAAATATTAAGCAAGTTTTCAACAAAGTCATTGCAATGCATTTGAGCTGTACAGCTACAGAGACCATTCAATTAATAACATATTCAGCTTTTTCAGCTAAATTCAGCAACAAATGTTTACAGCATTCGCATGCATTTTCAGCAGGAAATGCATTTTCTAGTTGTATATGTTGCTCTCTTCTAATTTACTTCAAAGAGGCCCTACTATGCTTTTCAGAGTTCTCTTTTGCCTGTAATATCGTTTTTTTCTGGTTAAAATCCCAAAGTTCACTCCCCCCCTGCCTGAAACGCCTCCATTTTACTCATTTGTTTACTTCAGTGACATAGTGACATTACTATGTAACACTCGCTATTCTATTGTCTAGCACTCCAACACATTGTACGTGATAGGCTAAGAGGGGGGACATTTCCGACATCTATAAGCGGTTTACCAATCACAACTGCCTGTCCACAACCCCTGTCTGAAACCAGAGCCCAGTCTGCTCTGATTGGTTAGCTGGCCGGCTCTGTTGTGATTGGTCACCCGCTTAGAGATGTATCAGAAATGCCTCGGCTCTTAGCAGATCACGTTTTTTTGCTGAATGACCCTGTGTTGTGTTTCTTGGCAACTTGTTGAGCCTCCAGAGATGCAGGGCAATGGTTGGTCTGAACATGGCCGCACTCATGCTCACCTTGGTCTGCTTCTTCTCCGTGGCGTAGACGATGGAGGTGCAGCACACCTCGGCCAGCTTGCGACTCTGACCGTAAAAGGACCAGCAGCAGATCTCGTCTCCGATCACGTCTTTGATGAAGAGGACGCGGCCGTTGAAGCTGAGCGACAGCCTGTCGAACAGCTCAATGTTCTTCAACAGGTTGTCGTCCGAGTTACTGTCGAGACAAATGAAAACTGATTTAGAGAAGAAGTGCTTCATCATTTACTTGGTTCTGTGTCCTGTGGCTCATTACACTTTATTAGAAAGAAAGAATCTATGCTTCCCTCAAAATAAAGCCATTAATTTTGTTATGATGAGAGCAGCGGGACCTCTGGAGGAAAGATGTCTTACCTGGTGTAGGAGTACTTGTTATTGCTTCTGTTGTACACCAGCTTCACCACAGGCTAACAGAAAAGAAAGAAATCATTGTTGAGCTTTAACATGGAAAACTACACATTTTATTCAAGTAGGCGTCATTCATTTGGCAGTTGTACTATGAAAATATTGAGGTTTTATGCGTATTTTACTTCAATCAAAAGGAACGTTAGAAAATGTTTTATTTATCTTTGAATAGCTGCTAAATGTGATAAAGAATATAGCGAAGGTTATTTCACCTTTTAATTTTTTAAACCCAAATGGGGGGGGGGGGGGGGGGGCGGGGGGGGTGCTAGTGAACTGTCAACGGGGGGCGGTGCCGGCCGTCAGCGAACCGAGCAGGCCGTCAACGGCCCTTGGCGACCGGCCGTTCTGAGTATCTCCAGATTCTACAGATGGCCAGTCCGCCCCTGATTACAACAGTTGTCCTATGTAAGGTGTTGGAAGTATTTTACAAAATGTTGTGCAGTTAGCTCCTACTGCACAGCAAAGAGACACAAGAGCAGGACTCATGCAACGCATTAATGAGCTCATTGAAATACAGTCTTTTTAATGACTTCATTCAGAAGTATGGTACTGCACAATAGAAGACGTCACAGCAACATGGTACGGAGTGACCTCCTCTGGTGGACGTCATTAAACCTCCTGCTTCTGCCTCCATGTGGGCTGAGGGTGCACCTGCAACCATCAGAAGACATGTTCCCCTAACTATGCATTCAGCCTTGTCTTTCAGTTCAACATTACACTTTAAAGAAGTGCCCTAAAGTTCTCTTTTGTCACCAACATCCTGTCCTGTAGCCTACAGATTCTAACTTTATATGCAGAATCTGTTTATAGAAATGAAACTGATATTACTCATGACTTACAATGATATTGCTTGTTTTAAGTAAGTATGTCAGTACTGTTCTTGTTGTCCAGTTTGAATCATTATGGTTTATTGCACTTATTGTAAGTCACTTTGGATACAAGCGTCGGCTAAATGCTATGTAATAATATTGATTAAACACCTCACAGATTATACAGATTCAGATTGAATTGTTATTAAATCCTAAAGCATCTTATTCCAACTGAGATAAAACAGGAATTCTCAGGAAAAAACAAAAACCCTAGCAGAAAACCCTGTATTTCACTAATAATAAAATGAAAAGACCAATCACAAGAACATTTGAATGCTTGTTTTTCTATGGCTGTATGCAGGATCTACCTTGGGTGATTAATTGAAGAAAAAAAATCTTATTTTGAGCTTAACCAAAAGAGTGTTGCAGTGATTACGTATTTGGTAACACTTTATATTCAGGTACAAATTCACCATCAACTAGTTGTTAATTAACATGCATATTAGCAGTATATTGGCTCTTTATTAGTCATTATAAAACACTTATTAATGCCTTATTCTACATGACCATATTCTATAAGTAATAAGCCATTAGTTGAGAGTTTTTCCTCAATAACCCTCTAATTAGTGCTTATTTATTGCAATAAGGAAGTTGTTGTACATGGGTTTTGGTCTTAATATGCTCTGCTCAATTTGGGCCTAATAAGGCAGTAGTACCACAAGAATAGTAATTCTCCCATAATAACACTTAACAAATATGATATATTATTATGTAACAAGACATGAAACTATAAGTGTTAATTAAGTAGGTATTTCTATCTAAGAATATGTTCCCTATTTTAAAGTGAAGTCTTGTTCATAACCAATAAGCTAGTAGTTTGACTCTAATTGACCTGAACAGGTTCCCTATTCTAAAGTTGCCTCCTCTTCACACTTTGTAAATACATTATAGCACACAACTACTGAAATGAACCTCAACAGTACATGAACAAAGTAGGCACACGTTGAAATATCTGTTTTATTAATGAACCACTAAAGAGAGGTTCAGACACATGTACCAAAACATGTCAAGTTTCTCCAAGGCTGAGAACACCTATGCCTGTACTTTTTAATAAAAACAAATAAACTCTGATTTTTAACAGAGTTTATGTATTTGGGATCATACTGTGTGACCTGCTTGTATGTACTTGCACAATAGGTGTACTGTTCTCTCTATGTGTTGTAATGTCTCAGTGTGAACATAGATTAAACAGCCAGCCAAACTCTTTTGAGAGCCAGAATAAGGCATTAATACGTTTTTTATAATGACTAATAAAGAGCCAATATACTGCTAATATGCATGTTAATTAACAACTAGTTGATGGTGAATTTGTGTACCTTAATATATTACCACGTATTTTTGTTGGCTAACAAGGAAGTTGGACAGGGATTTCGGATTATAGCAGAAAATAAGATCAGTGGCAAACACATGTTTATGATACTTACACTTTTGTTCAGCAGGATAATCTCCACATATTAACACTACATTTATGATGACTGAGAATAAATGCTAACTTATTTCCAGGGTTTTAAGACTCATTCCTGCACCACTCTGTATCAGGTTCATAAAAAGAATCACATTTGAGCACTATTTTTACCTTTGTAGAGGACTGGATGAGCCTCTCCTCTTCTTTACTGGAGGTGACCACAGGTATAACACACAGGGGCTGCTCTGTATTACCCTGTCAATCACAAACAACATACACAAGGAGTTAGTCTCATTTGGTAGTTACAGTGTCTTTGTTACTCATAGTGTCCTTAGGCCAGGTACACATTTTGAAATGGGTCAGTGTCTCATTTAAATTAAACTGATTTAAACATTACTTTGTTAAGAACATAGGTAAATATTACTTACAAAACAAGCATTTATAAAGTATGTTGAAACAAGCCTAATACAATTCATATGGAACCCATTTTTTTAGAGGTGGGTTGGTCTTTAGTGTATACTTTATATTTAATTTGGGTATTCAATGGATACAAATATTTTACTTTTGATATGTATACATTCCCTATTTATGTTTATCTATACAAATATATAGTGTTTGTTAATATGCTGCTGTAACAAAATTATTTCCTAAATTGGTATAAATAAAGTAAAAGCCGAAGAAAAAGGCATAGTAGCATTGGAACAGGCTTTCATTCTGAAAAGAGATAGGTTTGTCGACCCTAGTCTGCATTCACTGTTGTCATATTCAGTAAACAATGAAACTCCTAAACATACAAAAGAGGTCCAACACTTCCACAGACAACAGGAAAGTCAAAAGCAATGGCTCCTTAAGGAGTAAGTAAAAAAGCTTTTCTTCCAAGGACACGTTTCTAGTTACAGTTATTACATTATTCCTTTTTGAGTCAGTTGCATGATTTATGCATTAGCGATCGTAACTTTAACCTCTACACCGTTTCGATGCAGATGGAGGTGATCTGCTTCACAATTTCAGATGCACTTGTTGACGTTCAGGGATTATAAAGTTGGCCAACTGTCACTGTTGGCTTAGCCTGTTATGAATGTAAGTGTTTGGTCAGTATATTTGAAATGACTGGTTAGCTATCTGCGGCCTATTAAAATAGCCACTATAACCTACTTTAAATTAGGTTTCCAGTGACAGTTGGCCAACTTTATAATCCCAGAACATCAACAAACTGTGTGCATCACTTTTTAGCATCACTTGGAAACCGTTTCCATTGTTTTTTGAGCTTCATGCAGCTTTTAATGTGTTGTCAAGTTGGTGATGATGTTTCTTCAATTGGACGTGTTTTAGCACATTTGTGTTTTTATATTTACATAATTTTTGAAACTGCAACGCGTTTCTCTTAATGGAAACCCGTTTGCACCAATAGGCCACCGTACTAGTAGCCTCCACTGGTGATGAATCACTAAAAGAGTTGTTACCAAGTGCAGTGTTGTTGTGTTGTTGTGTTGTTGTGTTGTTGTGTTGTTGTGTTGTTGTGTTGTTCATAAAGCAAAAGACGTGCATAAGGTACACTTTGTGCTACATAAGAGTATTAGAAAGCACTGTCCTTTGCTGTGTGACACAGAGTATGTAATGGACCTCTGGAGGCAGGGAGTGTGCTGTTCATTCACAAACTACAGGATGTGATGATGAATGAACGACAGCCGGTGAGTTTACAATTCAATGACATACAATCTGTCCCCCTGGAAACCAAAGGATGAGTACATCTTGAAATCCCAGCAGGCCTTTCTGTGAACATCTGTCAGTATGATGCATTCACTGTTCTTCCAAGCAAGGTGAAGCAAACAGTTTTTCCATCAAAGCCTAGAGGCATTTAATTGTTTTATTAAACATTAATTTTTGGTGGAAGATTGTTGACATCCTCTTGACATCTTTTCTAAAATACAGTATTCTAATTTGGATTGTTCATAAATTACAATTTTAAATTTCATTATATTTTTTACTCTACACACATGACAATAAATGCACATCTGTCCGTAAAGTGAGAGCGATCCCTCCTATGTAATTCCTCCGTGGTATTTCTCAATTTTTCTACCGGTTCAATTTGGAGTTTCTTTGAGAGTTTTGCTTGTCCACTGTTAGGGTCTAAGGACCGAGGGTGTCTTATCAATACACATTGTAAAACCCCCTCAAACAAATGTGTAATGTCTTTTAGAGCTGTATAGAAGTGTCAGTGTGGTTGTGACTGACCTGCAGGGAGTTTTCACACAGCTCCACCAGGCCCTGGGCGAGGTAATACTTTGCCTCAGCCAGCAGCTCCTGGACAGCCTGACGGCCTTTGGGTAAGGAGACTGTGCCGTCACGCAGGAAGCACAGGATGCTGCCAAAGTGTTTCCCACTGCGGTCGATCAGGATCCATCCTGAACAGAAACAACAGACTGTGTTGAGAAATACATCTCTAAGCCAAGGTGCACAATAATGTGGCATAAACCAAAATATGTAGACTCAACATTACAGCAAATACATTTTTAAATTCTTTTTTTGATGTTATTTTAGTAATTTCTTTCCTCTTGTATTCATAATGAGCAACCACTATGTGAAGTCATGAATTTTGTAAACATACACTTGTAATCAGTCATGATATTATGAAGGGTAATCAACAATGTCTTGTTAATAACATCTTACGACTCTGCTTAGCTTCCAATATTGAATGTGTTGGGGTAGTATGGCTAGTTAGAATGCACACAGGCTACTTAAAACACCATTAATGGCTCTCAACACATCTCAGCAGGGCTAAAATGACTCTATTGGCCAGTGCTCTACCACATTGTATGTGATAGTCTAAGAGGCGAACATCTTTAAGCGGTTGACCAATCACAACAGAGCCTGCCAGCTAACCAATCAGAGCAGACTGGGCTCTGGTTTCAGACGGAGGGTGAAAAGAGGTGCTGCAGCACAGACAGTATGAGAAAAATAAAGAGCTTTTTGAACATTAAAGCATGGAGACATGTCACAGTAGAGACACTAAATGTCCTCTTTAACGCTTAAACAAACTTTTTTGTGTCTTTTACAAAATTGTTGCATTCCTACGTACGTTTTCTTACCCTTCCTCTGACATATAATACTTTTTAAAAGTTTGAGGTACAAGTAACAGAACATTAAAATGGCGACACTCGTCTCTTTGTGTTGTGGAAAAGATATAACAGCATAACATGTTTATGGACATGAGTAATATATTTTAATTAGTAACTTACCGTCTTTATCAGTGAACACTTCTTTCTTTCCACTGAACATGGCTTTCAGCATGGAGTCCTGCCTGGTCAGCACTTGCAGTGTGGTGTAAAACAGGGTCCCGCCAACGTTGATCCGGACATACTTGTTGCCCAGGCCCACCGCTCCTCGGTAACTGCAGGTCTTGGTCTTGGGACACGCCAGAGGAGGGGCTGAGGAGGTGGAGTGGGACAGGGTGTGATGCTGGGGCAGGCAGCTGTCCCCGGACATGTCCCTTTGGAGGTAGATGACAACCCTGCAGACGGAGGTCCGAAGGTCCCCCGCCGTGGTGACAGCTACTGATGGGGCCGCCACAACCTCTCACTGCTCCAGATCATTCCTGGCAAAACACAGAGGCCTTATGTTGATAAAGACTTGTAAAGAAGGACGGCAAGTGGCTGAACACATGCATCACAATATGTAGTGAAAGCCACCATCACACAATGGCCCAATTCCAAAACCCCCCCTACGCACTTGGAGTGAACTCCGGCTGTAGTCACACTCACAACTCAACGAAGCGTTCTTCTTTCTGGTGCAGGGGGTACATTCAGCGGCATGCATTGGGACAAACTCTCCTCTTTCCGGTAGAAACAGGAAAAATATGTCACTTTTCGTAACAACGGTTTCAAATCAGTATCTCTTGGACAAGAAATAATAAATTATAACTAAATTAAATATTAAAGAATCTTAAATTATGTTTATTTTTTGTAAACCTCTTTGTGTATTTAAATCAGATGTTTATAAGCTGCTTGGTTTTGCAACAGTCCATGTTAATAAACAAAACTTTTCAATCAAAAGCACACATTTACCATTTGTATAGACGAGACACAGGTATATGATCCTAATTAATAAATACATATTAAATGTTTATTCCCAATAAATGGAATGTGACTCGGCAGGAAACTAAAGGGGTTGTGTAGAGGGGGCACATATCAATGCTAAAAAGGCTATTTATTTTTCTTAAAATATAATAAATTAAAAAAATTAAAAAAATGTTTGATACAAAATATCTTGATTTATTATTTTCTTAGGTTACATGCGGTCTTGAAAAATACACCGAATGTAAAAGCAATGTGACTGGTTGCTTGCCAAATAGTGAGCCCACATTTATCTGTACTGCTAAGCCTTATATTGGCTACTTAGCTTACTTCGTCTTCTTCATCAGCCAGCATCCTTGGTATCTGTTGTTCACTGAGGTGATTCTCGCTAAGTAAGGCTTAGTCATCTTGCCAAATAGTGAGCCTATGTTAGAACTGCTTTATAAATGGTTCTTAATGATTAATAAAAGTGTTTATAAACTAATTCATAACCTAATTCTAAACCCTTTATGAATCCTTTATAAGGGTAGTCTTATTGTAAAGTGGTACCCAATTTTCTTTCCTTTTTTCTCTTCTCTTAAAGGTGGAGTAGGTAAGTTTGAGAAACCAGCTCGAGAAACACTTTTTGTTATATTCCATGGAATGCTCTTAACATCCCGATAGCAATGAATATCTTAAAGGTGGGGTAGGTAATTTTGGAGAAACCAGCTCGAGTGCGCTAGAATTTGAAAATACACAGCCGGAACAAATCTGCCACTTCCTTACAGAGCCCCTCCTCCAACACACACGAACGCGCACATGACCAATGAGGGCACGAGATAAGTTTGTGCACAGATGGAAAGCTGACAGGCAGGTAGGCCATCCAGTTATTTTAGCCGGGCCAGCTAAAATGATTGGTCGTGCTTTTTACAGTACTACGGCTTCCACAGATGACATTTTTTTATGGATTTTTTGTCAAAGCACTTAAGATATTCATTGCTATCGGGATGTTAAGAGCATTCCATGGAATATAACAAAAAGTGTATCTCGAGCCGGTTTCTCATACGTACCTATCCCACCTTTAAGTGCTTTGACAAAAAATCCATACAAAAATGTCATCTGTGGAAGCCGTAATACTGTAAAAAGCACGACCAATCATTTTAGCCGGCCCGGCTAAAATAACTGGATGGCCTACCTGCCTGTCAGCCTTCCATCTGTGCACAAACTTATCTCGTGCCCTCATTGGTCATGTGCGCGTTCGTGTGTGTTGGAGGAGGGGCTCTGTAAGGAAGTGGCAGATCTTTTCTGCCTGTGTATTTTCAAATTCTAGCGCACTCGAGCTGGTTTCTCCAAAATTACCTACCCCACCTTTAACTGAATAGTCCTGTCTTTAAGTATAATACAATGTAAAGTCCTTTTCCTGCACCATTTGAAGGCTTCAAAAACAGGCATTTTAACTGTATGTGTTTGGAGAAATGATACAATCAATGGCCCAGAATTGTACTTTATAAACTCTGAATCTTGTACTGCTTGAAAAAATACAGGCATAACCTGGCAGGTTATGCCTTTTTTGGAACCCTTTTTTACAATATTTATTCAAATATTAGTTTACGTTCCATTTCAACTATTTTAGGCAGGAAACCTTTATTGACTAAACATTTTTTAATAATTTACTATAATTTAGAAAGGTTTTTGTGACAAATAATTTCCAAAGTAACCTTTTTTCTCATTTTATATATCAATTTCAAATGTTTACACACAACGTTATTAATTTATACATTTTGATCTAATGTTCAGTTTTTTTTTATTATGAATCAATTAATTTTATTGTGTTTCCTTGAGCCTGGGAAAGATATCCAGCAGTTCAACATGCAAATGTTTAATACAAGTAAGTATATTATTATAACAGGGAAAAGTAAATAAAATAAGTTTAGTAGGAGGATGTAGATTTATTTTTTCTCCCACCTTGTAATTACACAATCAAACAATCTATAATTTAGCTCTGGCCTTCACTCACAAAAAAACATTTTGTTGAATTGGACACATTTTTCGAAGCCCAATTGACTGACATGCAATGACTGGGACTGATGGAAGAATCTGCGAGGAATTAACTAGGAGCAGAGAAATAATCATATTTTAAAAGACAGCAGCTTCATAAGAGGCCAACAAGAGTGACAGGGTTTGTCACCGTGCTGAAGGATAGACCAGGCCAGTCTCTAAAGACTTTCCAAGGGGTAAAAATGCTGCTGCTGGAGTACTGACTGGAAGTATTGCTGATACTATGTCCACCATATCCTCTTAAAATACTCTGTCCAACAAAATAAGTCTCATGAAGAAAGGTTTTTTTTAACGCTTATTACAAATAGCATAAAAACATGCATTCTTGTACTCAGGAGGGGACATTGACAGAGGATTACTGAAAAAGCACACAGTAAAAGTACTTCATAGTACTTGTGGGGGTAGTTTCACTAGTTCTGAGTTCAACAGGATCAATCTCACGAAGAACTAATGGCAACAAAAAATAATTCCCTCATCTCTCTCAAACTTAGCAGAAGTGGCTTGATTTTGTTCTCAGCAGGGGACTTTGTATTACTCAAAAAATACACAGTAAAAGTAAATGTATTGTTAGTAGTAGGCTTACTAATACAAAGTCAAACAGTATCAATTTCATTAAGAACTAATGGTAAAATTGTATTTTTATCATTCATCAAAGATAGCAGAAAACATGCAGTAGGCTACTATGGAGGGGACTCTGACAGAGGATTACTCACAAAGTACACTGTAAAAGTACTTCATTTTATTTCTGGTAGCAGTCAAACTAGTACCGAGTCCAACAGTATCAGTTTTATTAAGAACTTATGGTTGTGTCTCGGCTGTTTTCGTTATGATCGCTAAATTCACCTTGTTTCCCCTTGTTTATAATATTATCACCGTTCCAAGCAAACGAGTGCTTTTGTTTTGAAATCACTTCCGTGAGTTTCGCCCCGCCCCTCGCTCCACTGACCATTAGACCAGTAAGGTAAAAAGCAAAAAGGCCTGACGCTCTTCCGTTTACTTGTTTAATAAAGAAAAACAAATGGAGGTAGATACACGGATTTATAATAAACAGCTTGGTTTTGGTCCCACTCAAATTAAAGCTAGGTCAGTTAAACAGAATACTGTTGAGTGTAAAAGCGTTTTGTCCCACATACATTTTTAATGGTTTTATTATTTGGAGTTTAGCAGAGCTAGAAAATGTACATTATGTTTTATTATTAACTTTGTTATACAGCCTACTAGCTTGTGGTAAACTCCAAATTAACGCCAAATATCGTAAAAGTATCCAGAGAATGAGAGCTGTCACGGCTAGGTGAGCAAAAGCTAACGTAAACCTACCTTTAAAAATAGTGACCTTCGTGTAACTTGTCAAATGTATTGCTAATTTAGTTACAAACCATTAGTAAACAGCCATCATTATTATTGTTGTTAATATATAGTTTAATCATTACCATTCGTTACAATTCAACTAGAAACTATACTTATAAATAAAGAGAGGCAACATAAGCTGCATAAAGTGGGCACCCCACCGCCGGCTTAAACCCATTAGCCGGTGAGGACTAATGCTAAAATCTCTTTAGTGTAGTAATACAACGATTAACAGCAAGACGAAAGTCACTGTTAGCTCGGCTGTCTGTCTGTTTGGTCGTATTCAGACATGTTAAAGACTGAACTTCCTTTCAAATTAATTTAGTTGTTGTATTGTTTAACTTCAAAGGGCCTAACATCGTGTAACGCTGTTTATGTCAACGTTACGTACTTAAACAAAAGTACTTCTGGTCAATTCGTCTAGTCAATTCATATCACTTAATATGTCAATGCAACACAACAAACCATGTTAGTTACTTCCTACGTGGGTGTGTTTTGCTAATGTTAGCTAAGGTTGAATAGGGTGGGTACACTTCAATACGAAGGCAGGACAGCTAGACAAACTAGCCAATCGAAAAAGTAAAAAATCCGGGTTCGTTTTTGAAGTACACACACCGAATCCCTCAACAAGTAAAGCAGTATTCAGCAAATGCCATACATTCTCGTCATGTTTATATTTTTCTTAATATGTCACATTTAATGCCAGATTTTCAATAGAGTGCGTGACGTTATCGTCCCCAGCTACATCCAGCAGTGAACAACACGTTAAGAGTTTACGAACTTTACTTACCGATCTCTCTCTACTGTCTTTACGTGTCCTGATAATCGCACAACGTATGGCTTATCAACCTGACCGTTATCCCCTTTTGATGGAAATCCACAACAGTATCAACATGTTAGGTGTAAAAAGGTATGTAACTAAAGTTAAACAGTCTGCTCCCCTTTCTTCTTCTTCGAATGACTTTACGGCAGGCTTTACGTCGCTAAGCCTAACGCTGCCCTCTACAGTCAGAAACCTGTGTTGCAAGCTGTTTGCTGCCAGTGCCTACAAATACTTCAAATTGTACAAAATTAGTACTAGTGGCACTTAATTCACACTGTAAATCATATGAAGTAAAAAGGGCAATAGATGTCTCTGTCAACAAAGAGGCTTACATGCTTCTGATAATGAATGCATGCATGAAATAAAATGCCAGGCAAAAAGGCTATCTATTATACATTTAGTAATTTCGGTCCATTCTACAGTACACACTTAACATCTCTGCAGTTTAAATATTAAACTAAATCAGTTTTATACAGTCGTTTTATTGCCTACATTACGGTAAGATCTCATTTCCGTCTTACTTTCAAAGTAAAAGCTCTTTGTCATTTTGGCGTTAAAAAATATCACATATTTTTATTGTAAATGAACAATGTTCACCAGACAGTGTGACTGTCTGATCACTGCCAATAATTCAACAATGACCACCAACGACACGCATACACACCATCATGCATACACACCATCACACACACACACACACACACACACACACACACACACACACACACACACACACACACACACACACTGGCAGCAGCAGCATTTGGTTTCCTTGGCAGCGGGAAGAGGACGAGGAGGAGCCAATGGTGAACTGCTATGCCACATCGCACAACACAGAGCCATCTACGGTCACGGTGATAACGGTTTAATAAGGTAAAACAAAGAGTTTTCTGTCCCCAATAAGATACATGCGGTATAATATAACATCAGCTTTCTAGGGAACTCAATGGGGTTAGCGTGTGGGGTTTTCAGCCCTTATCCAATTAGCTTTTGCGAACAGGCTAGCGAAATGTAGCTAACTAGCTGAGATGATTTAACTTACATTAGGGTAGATAACGTTAAAGGCATATGCAGGCATTGCTACTGGGAAGAAACACCTAACATTATATTAACCGTTCTAGCTATTTTCCACTCTGTCCACTCTATCAGACTCTTTTTAATTGTGTGAAGTTAACGTTAAATATGTAAGTCAAACTAAACACATGATTCACGGTTAGCTAACAGAGGTTAACGTTCAACATCAACCAGATAACTTGCGATACATTCAAAGTTATCTAACGTTAAACTACAACTCAGTATCAACTTAACTCTAATACTTAGCGTAAAGCTTCTGTGAATATGGTTACATGCAAACATACACTGCCAATAAGTGTATAAAGAGAGCTGCCTTGCCATATGGTGTTTTTTGTTTTGTTATTCAAATCTTAATATAAGAAAAAAGCATTTCAGCCGTGTACTCAACCACTCAATATACTAAATAATCAAATACATCAAATAATGATAATACAAAAATGAAATAGGCACAAATAAACTTCATAAATACCAACACATTAGAAATAAATATACATTATTCTTAAATGATTGTGTCATACAATTTGACAGGTTCATCACTTGTTTTAGTATTGAATAGTCTTAAAGTATTCTTTATAAAGAATAGGTGGTCACTTTTGTTATTTTTCATTTATGTAGGAAGGATGTACCATATATGATTAACAAGTTTACCATTTAATTCAATATAAAATATGTATTGTTTTATTACACTTCTACAATACATTTACAGAAAATAACATATTTCTATTATTTCCAGAAAGTAGGTGAATGTAAACAGTGCGTGAGCAATTCCACTGGCATGTTGGTATAATGCCTTAACTAGATTTTAAAATTCAAACTTTATCACAAATAAGCTTTGTCTTACTGTGAGAAGTATAGCACATCCTCCCCAATGGACACACTGTATAATTAAGATCTACACGTATAAAAACACCCATACACACACATCAATACCACAAAAACAGATGTATTAGTTTAAAGGTAAAATCTAGGTATTTTAAATAAGATTGTATGAGATACCTATTCATAGATGAGCATTTAGAGAAACAGACAGCAAAAAAGATATTGCCACGTTGTTATTGCTGGATAGCAAACCTCTTGTCAGCACTTTGTTATCAATCTCATTTGGTTTCATTGTAAAGGTAACGTTATCTAACAGACATTTCTTACTGTACCTCCCTTCAAAAGTCTGGAATCCCCTCCAACAAAAGCTTGATAGTGTTTATTCCGATGGTTGAGAGGATTGCTCTTTATTTTGAAATGGCCTTTCACGCTTTTAGGTTGTAGAAAGTCCTCTTTAAATTGATATTATTTTGTATGAAGGGTACATGGATAACAAGACGCTAAGCAACAGTTCAGTAAGAATAGAGGAAGCTGGAAGCTTTTCATTCACATGTGTGCAGATTAAAACAGCAGAAAATTCCTGCCTAGATCATTTTGACCTGGATCAGGGAACAGCTGACAATCTACAATTTAAAACATCTTCATTCTAAAGACTGTTAAGACTGCATGGGGCCCAATACATAAGTGACAAAGCCAATATTTAGAGCCAAGTTGCACTGTTGAGGTTTAACACTTATAGAGGGTCACATATTTTTGTAATAGATAGACAATTTTAAATCTAAGTAATATCCCCTGTCATACAACACTGTGAAGTTGGAGTTTGAATAATGAACTTTCTTCTTTCTTCTTCTTTTTGAATAATGAACATTCTTCTTTTACGACAAAACTGTTTTATATGTGTAATTCATTTTGTTTCTGCAATAAATCGTTTTTGTATCTGTTTAGAAAGTTATTTTCGAAGGAAAAAAGGAAAATACCAATATAGCATGTAATTTCAAACATTCAAAGAGCAAAAGAGAGAAAATAGGGCGTTTCACCTGCTGGCCTACAATTCATATTTAAACTGTCTCAGTTGTCACGTTCTTCTAACCTCATTCTTCATGTCTCCTTTGTGACAGGCCCTGTGGCCATGGCTAAAGACCCGTTAGCCGAGGCAGGCTTTTATTTTGACGAACTCAACAAGCTGCGGGTACTGGAGCCTGATGTCAGCCAGAAAACCTCCGAGCTCAAGGAAGAGTGTAAAGAGTTTGTGGAGAGTAAGTACTGAATATTTTGAAAGGTTGATTATGCTGTGTGTGCCTTTCCCTTCCAACATACACAGGTCCTACAGGATGTGTAAATATGTGTCCTCCTTTGCAGAAATCGGCCAGTTTCAGAAGATAGTAGGAGGTCTTATTGAGCTGGTGGATGAATTGGCAAAAGAAGCGGAGACAGAAAAGATGAAGGTAAGATTAGCATTAGCTAATTTTGAAATTCCAGGAAGATGTTATCTCAGTTATTCTGTACAGTATGTGCTTCTGATTGATTTTGAGATTATTAATGATCAGCCCATCTATTTTTCCTCTAGGCTATTGGAGCCAGAAACCTGCTGAAGTCAGTGGCAAAGCAAAGAGAAGCTCAACAGCAGCAGCTGCAGGCTCTCATAGCCGAGAAGAAGATGCAACTCGAGAGGTAACGTGTGTGTGCGTGTGTGTGTGCAGGATAAGGTAATGGTTTCCCACTACATACAACATAGAGTGGTGCAGGAATAAGTCCTTAAACCCAAAACTGGAAGCATAGCAAGTGTTTCGGTCAATTCTTATTATTTGTTCTTGTTAGATGCCTGAAATAAGGCTGTGGTTAATACAAGCTTACGACAGTTTCAAGTTTTGTTTGATGAAATAAATAATAGTCTGTAAACATCCCACTCATTAACTTTTGAAGCTTCTATTTGTCTTAAAAACAGCGGTTGCTAACAAGATGCTAAATTAAGACTACGAGGGGCGGCAGTAGCTCAGACTGTAAAAAAAGGTTTTGCTTGGGAACTGAAGGGTCGCCGGTTAAAGTCACGATAATCAAAACATTACAAAAATAAAGGAGAAAATACGAAGAAAATCGAGTTTCCCCCTTGGACATTAATAATGGTTAAACATCTAACCGTCATCACGCCAAACATTAGCCGCCTTTAGCTTAGCGGTGGGGATGTGAAGTCAGGCGATGGTTACTTAGTTTGTTTAAAGCCAAACGTTTGTTTTTTATTTCCATTGCATTTACTAATAAAAAAGTGTTGTTAATATATGAATACCCTGCTGAGTACATTATAGGCATCAGTAATACATTCATATTGAACATCTGTTAAGACATCTTGTGACTTTTTGAACTTCATAAAACTACCATTGGAAAAAAAACTCATTAGAAGAGTTTTACTGCATCAGGGTTTTTTAACATTAAACACGCAAAGAGATAAACAGATTTTTTTTTTCATTACTCCGTTATTTGGTTACAGAGAGTTTTCTGGTGTGTTTCAGATATCGTATCGAGTACGAAGCTCTGTCCAAAGTGGAGTCGGAGCAGAACGAGTTCATCGACCAGTTCATCCTGCAGAAGTGACCATGTGACTCCACGTTTCCACAGTGCCTGTCCGGTTATCTCTGGGTGATGGGGCCCACTTCAGAGAATAACTCTGCTGCAACTGTTTTTCTGAAGCAATCCCAAAGCTCCAACACCACTCTGAAACATCTCCTCCTCCCTGACATGCATGTGTGTGAAGCAGGTGTGATGATGTAAGCTTGAATATTTATTGGAGCGGTAAATGTTCACACCAAATGTCTCGACATCACAAACCAACATGAAAGAACACGGAGCTATTTATACAAAGAAAAATAATTTATACTGAAGAATTATTCTATATATCTAGATGAACTAATTTTTGTATCAATTTAAATATGGCATGTGCATGCATCTGTAAATATGTTTAATTTCATATTGTGTTTTGTGATTGTTTTCTTCTGGTACAGCCAGTCATGGGCACAGCACATGAGAAATACATCGTCCTCTTTTTCTAATTCTTAATTTCTATGTGTGTCTTTCATGTATTCTATTAGATGACGAAGGGTTATACTTGAATAAATACTGTATTATATTAGACAACAAAAGGTGTCATCATTTGTGCTGTCAACACGTACATCTTAGGGTCTTGCTATTATGTTTTGTTTCAATAAAATGAGTTGATATCCTTTTTTTTGCACTGTTGGATTCTCTTTAATGAGACTTAGGTAAAAGTTTTCAGAATTGAGAACAACTAAAAAAGCAGGTTTAAAGTAGAACAAATATTAAGTTAGAGTACCATCTTTTTTTGAGTTTATTCTTCGCATCACACCATCTTTATCAGATAGTTTATCCTCTCACGTTCTGTTTGAGACGACATCACAAGAAAACAGTTACTCTCAATTTACTGACTGCAACTCCCTCCAGCGTGGTTGTATTGCTCAGTAATTATTTTAATCTGCCAGTTTTTATTTATTCTTGTTTCTTCACTTAGTTACTGCATCTTAACCCTGTAAAGCCCAAATATAGAAAAACATTAGATTTTTTTTGGACCTTTCAGATGTTGTTGTAGGGAGGTTGCAGTTGCAGGGAGCCTATGGAGCAGAAATGAAAGAGTTTTCACATTTTTTACGTTTTTAGGGAAATGTTGTAATATTACAACGTTGGCCTTAGGTGGGAGCAGAATTTCTGTATGTCTACTCACATTGTCTGAATAAATATATTGAACAACTAAGGGTTGATTTGCAGGATTGATGGCTTACTTAGCCCTATATCAGTATAGCATGAATAATAATCACACATCAGTCATATTTTTTATGAATAGTCATTTATTAAATATGAATACAATGGTAGTCCAAAAAACAGTTCCTATCGTCAGAAAAGCAGAGACGGACGTCACACTTGGTGCATTGTGTGTTTGTGTACCCTTTACTGCATCCTCTCTTTGTCTTCACTGGAAAATGTGCCATTAGGTCCTTGCGTACATCCAGTGGAGGTTGTGATCTCTTGGATGGAGCCCCGTTTGGTGGACTCCCATCACCTGAGGATGGTCTCTTCTGAGCATTCAACGGGCTCCTTGATGTCACCGTCGGTGCTGGGCTCCCGTTGCCTGAAGATGGTCGTCCTCTCTTGGGTGTTTTCAAAGAAGTTGTGTTCATCTGATTAGAACAGAATCAATCAAGATACATGTCTATACATTAGGATACAAGTCAAAAATATTACAATGAAATATAAAAAAATATTACAAACGGCAAAAAGCAGAAATGCATTCTTACCAGGATGAGAGAGGGTGCTAGATCTGCCTGAAACTGTCTCCTGGTCAGGATCTCCTGCTTTGGCATCTTTAGAGCTTTGCACTCCCGCTTGTAGAGGAGCCAGGCGTTGATCACAGCAAGGATGATGGAGTGCCAGAAGATGTGCACGTACCAGCGTCGGGACTTCATGGGTCTGGTCCAGCAAAGGATGACACAAGTGTGACCGCTCTGCTGTCATACCATTTGACAGCACAGATGTTGTGGTTGGCCTCCACTCGGATGTCAAAGCTTCCTCTCCCTTTTTTCTTCAAGCTCTTCTCCTCTTCAAGGTTACAGTTTGGTAAGCGCACCTGCCTGCTGTTCCCACATAATGACTACCAATGGGACACAGGTGAAGTAGTTGTCTGCGTAGATCTTGTAGTTCTGACCTTCTGGAAGCGTGGAGGCAAGCTTCATCACAACATCACCTGACAATCCAAGTTCAGACTTGGCTCGTATCCCATTGACACTGCCTTGGTTCACATCAAAGTCACAGATCATTGCAGAGATTCCAGTTCTCACCCACTTTCTCCGTTTTGGATGGCATCACATCCTGCACACTGAATCGAGGACCTCTCTTTGCTGGTGGCATTCTGAAATGGAAAAAGTCATTAATAAATATGTATCAATAATACATATGCTTATTATATTGTAATAGATTACCTGAAGGAATAGATAGGGTGGTGGGACAAGTGTTCATTCTGTCTGGCTTAGCCTATTATCATACTAAAAGGAATGCATGCACCACCCCCCTTCCAGGTGTCCCGATGCAACAAGTATCTGAATCCTATTTACATTGTACACTTGAGTCACACAATACTACCTGGCTTAGCCTATTATCATAATAAAAGGAATACCTACACCCATACATGCAGGTAAATCAGTTCAACAAGTCACACAATCCTGCCTATTATCATAATAAAAGGAATACCTACACCCACACATGCAGATAAACCAGTTCAACAAGTCACACAATGCTGTCTGGCTAATGATAATAGGCTAATTGTCATACTAAAAGGGATACATCCAAGTGTCCCAACACATTTCAGAAAGAACTGTTTCTGCCAAAACCAGAGAAGAGTTAAATGTAATTTTGTAACTAATTAACTGATAAGATACAAGTAGAGTATAAAATATTGCTACAGATATAATTTCACATACTTTTATCAGGAATAGTGTATTAATTTATTCAATTCTGGTCTTAATTCAAAATCTTAACAGAGGACACATTTAGAACTTAGTTATAGTGAATTATCAACGACATTACATTTCTATTAGTGTTTTTTTTCCATATGTGAACAAATTTGATGAATGTATTCCACAATAACTAAATATGTACATGTTCTATACATTGTAATAATCACAACAACATTTCTTACTTGAATCTGACAAATCCAGTCCAATAAAACAAAGAGATGTTGCTCGTTTGAAGATTCGGAAGTTGTGTGAGTGTATGCTCCAGAGGGCAGGACCGATAAACACATTTACTACTTGAGGCTGAACATATATATTATATTTCAACAGTTTTACGACAAACTGAGACGTTTTTGACATGGACATTTTTTTTTAAGATTGACAAACATCATATGTGTAATTCGTGGCACAATTCAAACGGGATCGAAAGATAAGTTTTGTCTCTCCATTGACTTCAATACATACTTTTTCCGAAATAAGGTCCCATGGAGGTCCCCGGAAAGGGAGGGACTTCGCCTGTTTGAAGATGCGCTATGATTGGCTTGTAGGAATAGAGACGAAGGGATAGGTTTAGCTGTGGTGTGAACGCCCCCGATCGCTGATTGGAAGGGGTCAGAGTTGCGTCATCTCCGTTCCGGTCGTGGAGCCTCTCAATAGTTCCCGGAAGTGAGCAACAAATACTAGCAGCGCAGTAGAGTTGCAGCATAATAGACCGTTTGTGATTAACTTTTAAAGGTAAGACGTTTAAAGATTTAGATTGGATAATATCAGCACATCTGAATCCAATGAACATGTGCATTAAAGCATGTTAGTGGATTATCCCCCACTAAATTAGTAGATTTAGGGGACGCTAACAGATTAGGCTAGGATACCGGATACAGTTAGCAACACACGTGAAACTTTAACAGTTGTCCCTCTGGAGTCGGCGCCCGCGGATCTGCGTGGAAGTGCGTCTATTTTACGTATTTAATCGTATATTTTCGATTATAGGGAGTATGATTCCGATAACCCAGGAATCGCTGGAACTGTAGCTTTCCCGCGGTACCTCTTGTGAGACTCACAGCAGCCAATAGCAGCTTGACTTTGTGTTACACTGTGTGGGATTGGTGGATTCGTGTGTCCGTCAAGCCATTTCGGTCTGAAATGACCAATGGACACTCATGAAATCACTAAGGACCTACCCACCAAGAAAAAAAAACATTTAACACACGTGTCTCCCATCAGTTTGTCTGTGTGTGGAAGAGAGAGAGGAGACAGAAACATGGCTAAAACCACAGTTGCCGCTGAGCTAGAGATAATTTTGGCTAGCAGTAGTGAAGATGATGGCGAATCAGAACCTGAAGGCTTTGACTCTTCGGAAGAAGAAGACTACTGGGATAACAAGGATCCATTTGAAGATGGGTAAGTGTAAATATAACAGTAATAGTGCACTTGCCATTTGTGGGGTATACAAGTTATTTTGGTGTGTAAAAATGAGGTTACATGTGTAGATGACTAAAATAATCCTTTATTCGTCCTACAACGGAGACATTTACAGTGCATATAGACATCTTTTTGCCATCGATATTTTGTATTATACTGTTCTGTACAGATGAGACTTTGTCATAGATATATGCAGGGTTGGGAGGGTTACTTTGTAAATGTAATCAGTTACTGATTACTGAATACATGGCTCTGAAAGTAATCCGAATACAGTTGCGTGTCTTAAAAAAACGTTTTTGGATTACTTTCTTTTTCCATCACAGATGGGTATGTTTTGGTGTACAGGAGACACAAAAAGCAAAAGGAAACTGGACGTGTTTTTACTGGTTTAATGGCTTATCAAGAGCACATCTGAAACGATGTAACAACATAATAAACTTTTTGGGGATGCGGCTTGGGATGTGAGGAGTGAGGGACACGGCTTAGAATGGGCTTGTCGCCTTCTGTCCTGCCAGTGTTGGCAGGACATGAATTAAAATGTCGAACTCGGACATTTCGGCCAGGGGTGTAGAGCTATGTTTGTTTAAGCACCGGATTGGCAAAACAGGAGTGTGCACCAGTCTGCCTTGGTCTATGAATTCATGTCCGTGACGCTGCCCACAGCTGTTTTACAGAAGGAAAACCTCCTTCACTTCATGAAACCTCTGCAGCACCAGGAGGCAGCGGGAGGGTTAACTCAGCCTCTGAGAAGAGGAGCGCGCAGTGCCTTTCACGCACCGCCTTCACTGTGTTTACCTTCAGAAAGAATCATTAGAAAGGCTAAAGAGGGACTGCAGGCTGATGTGTTTTAACCACACACACGATTTAAACGCAGACTGTTGTACCTGGATGGCCTACCTGCCTGCCTTTAAATGTTGTGAGAAAATCTTTCCACCAATAATTCCAATAAGTAATCCAAAATGTATTCACTTCAGGTTTACGAAAGTAACTATCAGATTACTCGTTTTTCAAATGTAACGCGAGCCGAATACAGTTACTTGATTTTTGTATTCTGATTACGTAACGCCGTTACATGTATTCCGTTACAACCCAACCCTGCATATATGTATGTGTGCCTGTGATTGTTTTTACAATACTGTTCTGTACAGATGAGACCGAGAGAGATCAATGAACTAGTAGTAATTATTGTCCTACATTTTAATCTGTTTTACAGAGAGGATTCACAGCAGCCAAAACCTCCATCGGTGCCTGCCACCATGTCAAGATCTACCGTGGATCAAGGTCCAGCAAAGAGGACTCGTAGAGAACACATACTTCCCACACAGCCAATAGCAGGCCATGCACAGTCATCCCCACCTACACAGCAGTCAGCTCCACTGTCTTGGAAGACAGACAAAGACCCCGACACTGCCCCCCCTGTCCCCAGTTTCAATCCTGCTCGCACACCCGGGCCACAGCTCAGCTCCAGATGGAAATACAAACCATTTGACCTGTTCAAACTTTTTTTCAGTGCACAAACAGTACAGACAATTTGTATCAACACAAACAAACAAGCTGCAAAGCAGATGGGAAAGGGAAAAAAATACAAATGGATTGATTTGACTGTAGATGATTTTTATAAATACATGGGGCTGCTTCTATACATGGCCCTGCTGAAACTGGACACGGTATTGGATTACTGGAGGCAGGATCATTTTTTGTCAGTGCCTCTGCCAGCACAGGTCATGACACGTGACAGATACAGGACAATATCCTGGAACCTGCATCTCAGCGACCCTGATGAGGATGTCCAGAACGACAGCAAAAAGGGCACACCTGATCATGACAGACTGTTCCGATTGAAACCCCTCATGGACAGCATCAAGACTGCGTGTATGTCCTATTACCATCCCCATAAATACCTGGCTGTGGATGAGAGGAAGCTTGACTCCAAGGCCAAGACTGTAATTACCCTGTACATGAAGGCCAAACCTACCAAGTGGGGATTCAAGCTGTTCGCCTTAACCGACTCGAAGAATGGCTACACAGTAGACTTTTCCGTTTACACTGGCAAAAGCGACATCTGCTCCGGACATGGCTTGTCGTATGATGTGGTAATATCTCTGGTGCATGCAGGTTACCTTGGAACAGGTTACCATATTTACATGGACAATTATTACACCAGCCCGAAGCTGTTCAAGGCTCTCCATGCCCTAAAGTTCGCTGCCTGTGGGACCTACAGAGAGACCTGCAAGGACTGCCCAAGGACACAGACTAACGCTCTAACAGCAAAATCCAAAAGAGGCTCCCTAAGATGGATCAGGGAGGGCCCCCTGGTATTTGTCAAATGGATGGACAACAGGGAAGTATCCGTCTGCTCCACCATCCATGAAGCATACTCTGGCAACACAGTGCAGAGAAAGCAGAAGCAGAGGGATGGCTCCTGCACCCAAGTAGAGACCCCCTGTCCCACACCTGTTGCCGAGTACAACGAACACATGGGTGGAGTTCATCGGTCAGATCAGCTTATACACCACTACTCTGCAAAGCACAAAACCATGCGCTGGTACAGGAGCATATTTTATCATTTCCTGGACATTGCCACTACAAACAGTTACATTTTGTACAAGGAAATCTCTCTGTCACAAAAGAAAAGGCCCATGACACGCAGAGCATTCATGGGGGAGCTGAGTGCTGAGCTCTGTGGCAAGCCTCTCCATACACCGCCTGCCCGGGGACCTGCATCTCATCTTCCTGTGTCCATTGCTGATGTCAAGGCATCAGGCATCAGCCGAAAGGCCACCACAGGACGCAGGAGATGCGAACACTGCCACATCCAAGGCTTGAGAAAGGACACGCCTTGGAAGTGCAAGCAGTGTGATGTGGCCCTTTGTCTCTTATTGGACCGCAACTGCTTTGAGGCATGGCATGAGGACTGAATCGGAGTGAACGTGTTTTTAGAAATGGTTGAGAATAAAGTTCTGATGTATTGTATCAAGTGTTTTTGCTGTTTTTTTACATTTAGAATAAATTGTTGGTTAATACCCAATACTTTGATAAACCAAATCTAAAACACAAACATTTGGATGACTCGAGTAAATCTGTTTTCACAAGAGTTTTGAAGATTTCCAAAAATCGGGTGTCAATGTTCAGCTTTAGAGCTAATTATCTCATCACACAGCACTCTAAAGTGAGTGACTTACATTTCTTGATATGTAACACATGGGGTGCCATTTTATAACAAGTACATTTAAAAGGTGATTTAACGAGACTTCTAAAAATCAAGAAAATACCTGTAGAATCCAGAGGGTTAATGTCGTTTCATCCAACGTTGTGGAATTAGAGAAAAAGGATTCATTTGTTTTGCGGGATGGAGGAAGTTAATATTACACAAGGAAGAGAGCTATTTGAGACATAGATCCGTTTAAGAACATACTACTTTTTTTTTTTTTTAAAGAATTCAAAGCAATAAACACGTTCTTTAACAGAGGTAGAATTAGCCTTAAATATGTTAACAAGGCAGGTAAGCTAGCTGTTCACACTAATCCTCATATCAGCGGATTTTATTTAAAAAAAGAACCGCCAAGAACTTCCTGGAACCGAGTCTACGTGACTGAAGCATTTTGAACTTCCGTTGACTCCTTAAATGGCTCTGGGAGGGGTGAGCGTAGTAAGATGGAAATATGTGAATGACAGGATATAAAGATGGTTTTCCTGATTGAACTTGCGCTAAGCTTCATTAAACTTTAATATTAATTTATTATTTCAGCTCAATTAATTCCTTTGTATTTACCCATATTGCACTATATAGATCTGCTCATTAAGTGTCACTTCATGTCAAATTTCCACTCCATAAATAAGACAACTAAGCTATAGTTTAGAATGTATTTTATTGAAAAATAAATACATGATATAGTCATTTCACTCCATAAATAGTATTTACACCTTTATTGATGAAGAGTATTTATATCATTCCATACAGTACAGCAAGTCTTCCTCATCCGATGTTGCGTTATCATGGCTGTTGACGCAATATCAACTCAAGACTCAGAAAAATGTCTCCATCTCTACGACGTGAAACCCCCCGGGACATATTCATGGTTTTTGAGCCTCATTTCTTCTTGGAATACTGCAAATGAAAACGAGAATTAAAAATGACAGTGTGTTTACAGTATTCATACTTTATTTTGAAATTCAAAAGGCCTTTATTCTTACTTTTGTAAGAATCCAGTCGGCATCTACGACAGCTCTTTGGACGATCATTTGTACCCTCTCCTGGTCGTCTTCATCTGCGTGACTGGTGTAACCCTGGAAACCAAAAACCATGATGAAGTGCTTTGCTGCTCACAATGAGGAAGCATTAAGCAGAAAGGGCTTCATCTTTCCAGGCTAGGAAAACCACACTTAACAGGTTTAATGATGTGTCAATAACTAGAACAATTCAATATAATGAGAGAATGGTACATTATGGAGGACAGGTCTTCTTCCTCATGTAGTGTTTACAGCAAGGTTCAGAAATATGTTTTACTTTTATTGTTTACAGGAAATAAGATCAGAATAGTTTTTTTTAAATTATCAATTAATCAAGAAAACAGTCGCCAAATTAATTGACAATAAATATTATTCTTTGTGGCAGCCCTAAGGACTTTTGGCACATTTGTCTGTCAACTACTGGTACAATTTTTGACTTTGAAGAGCATGTATGGAGGGAATCTGAATCACAGGATGAATACATGAATTCATTTTCTACTTTTGTTAACGTAGCTCGCAAAGTGTGCATTCGTGTGGCGTCAGAATAATTGGAAAATGTGAAACTCACTGGGATCATTTATATGAACTTGAACAGTGTGCCGATTAAACGCCCTGAGCAATAAAATGACAAAAAAAAAAACACAAACTTTTCTTTAGCATTCAAGTTGTGAACAACCATCACAACAGATTTCCTGGTTGAACTACACTGTTGTTGTGCGTTTGCAGCAGTTTTGTGGACCGTGCTAGAGTGATGCATTTCCGGATCACAGCACAATGTTTGGTAGCTTATACTGACAAGAAAACATTCACGGCAATCACTAATAGCTATCTTAATATCTGCTCATCATTATTTTACTTTTGGCTAAGAAAGCAGCAACTCAGGATTTTGGATAAGTGTCTCGGTCAAAGACTGTTAGACTTTAGGACTGACAATAAACACATAGGACAGTTTCAGATGTCAGATATAGCAAACCTTTTTACCATGTTTATGGGCAGTACAGATTTCACCTCCTCTCACGGAGCACTGGTGTGCTACGACACAGTGGATGAATATCACTGGTCTACAGTATGGAAGTGTATGCCAGTTGGTTAGGTTAAAATCGTCAGCTAAATGACATGTAATTTAATGGTCTAGTTGCCAGTATAGTGAACTTGGAAATGTTGAGTACCCCAAAGTTTAATGATAGAAATGTATAGTAGGGGTCCCCAGCACATAGAAACTGATAGATGCTTACTTGCATATATTGGGCAATTTGCACAATTAGCATAAGTTGCCTTAATTTAAATGAACGGCATTATATCCAATGTGGACAATAGTTATACAAATTAGTGGTTTTGGGGGTTATGGAGGATGCTGAATCAATTTCTGACATTATCTGGTTTAAAAATGGCATATATAACCAGAAAGTGGCCATATTTCTACTCTCGGTGGGCTGATTTTGACTACCATTAGTAGTGTCGCAACCATTGGAATTAGAGAGAAAAAAAATGACAATTATTATAATAATTATCATCTTCAAATAAATAGGCAATCTGTCCAATTCAAATGAACCAGAGTCCACTAAATCTTCCATATCGACCAAAGAATGTTATAAAAACATTAAAATATTGGCATTTTCTGGTTAAAACCGCAATTCTTAATATTGAAAATGTAAGAAATGGACTCTGCATCCTCAATTTGCCTAACATTAAACTTTGGTGTACTCGACATTTCCGGGTTCATTACAGGACTCTCAGCTGGCAACTTGATTATAATACAAGAACATTTCAAAGGCATTTATCTTGAAAGCAGTAGCTGCACATGGCGTCCTCACCTGTCTGATGGCGTGCCGGTAATGCTTCTGCATGGCTTCTGTGGGTAACTGCCTGCAGCACCGGAGGAGGTGTCGGTACAGCTGCACCGGTTTCAGCTCCGCTCCAACTAAAGGTAGCATTGTCCCCCCCTTTGGTTAAGTTACTGTGGATACAAATGGTGGGATTTTTTTTACCCTAGGTATAGACTTTCTGCATATTGAAACTGATTTGACCAACTCTGTATTTAATATGCTTCCCTTTATGTCCGTTGCATTTGGAACAGAACAAAATAAAAATCATGACATACATTTTTATTTCAGGTTGTAAACATGCATCATGAATTTCCTGAAAGTTTGCAATGAAATATTATATACATGATTACTTTCTTTAATTTTGGATTATATTTTCTTATCTGCAATCAAAGTTGTTGACCAAAAGTGGACTGTATAGCAATTTCATAGAATTATGAAATATCGTTTTGTGATATTTTAGTTTATTCATTTAGTGGGAGTTCAGTTAAGTGACGATGCAAAACACTTTTAAAAATCACTTTTTTTGAATGGGATTAGTTAATTGTATTTACGTTTTGCTATTAGTTTTATTCCATGTGTATTTTATCATTTGTTTATTTGCTGTTTTTAATTGATTTGGTCCTAAGTTCTATATTTAGGAAAAAGCACTTTGGAACTTAGTTTGAAAGGTACTGTATAAATAAAGTGTATTATTATCATTATTATATGCAGTGGCGACTGGTCATTAGGGGCAGGTGGGGCACAGCCCCACCTAGTGTCAGCAGAAAGTATTACAAATAATGATTACAAAAATGCAAAAAAAAAAAAAAAAAAATATATATAAAATATATTTTAAGATCATGTTTAATCATCTGATTCGTCTGTACATTGCTGTTTTAGTCTGTGTTCTTCTAATTAGTGTGTCTACAGTCACAGTGTGTGCCTATTGAGCTGTTTAGAGCCATGTGGGACAAAACCTGATTATGCCCCTTCCTCTCGCTGTGAAGTCAACGGTGACTGTAAAAACTTCACTGCGCATGCTCAGAGTATTTTGTAATGTAATGTGTGTGGCAAAAAAATAATGACCAGAGGGGCACGGAGTTACCATCCCCACCATACGTCATCTCAAATCATTCAGAGCTGATTGGCTGTAAGTACGTGTGCCGCGAAAAGTGTGGTGCTTGAAGAGGAGACGAGAGAGCTGCAGTGGCGCGTCCTAAAACCAGGAAGTAAGCACAAAAAAGCAATGAGATTTCTCCAGAGGATTTTAGAAAATAGCTCGAAATAAGATCTGTGGGAAACGTACCTGTTAGATAAATGCACGTTTTGATTAGCCGGATAACATCCACATGTCTACCCTACTTTTATAATTTTGTTATCATAAATCTATGGATTAGATTTATGATAGACTTTTGAAACTACAAGAACATAAGGAGGACTTTTACAAAAAAGTAATAGAAATGTTTGTCCAGAAGGATAGGCAAATGGACTTCATCTTCAAGTCAAGGTAAGACCGCCATTTTATTGAAAATGGGATCTTACTAAGAGAGAACAATTCAATATTTAAATGATAAAATTACATTTTTTGGGTATCCTTTTGTTGAACTGTCTGTTTAAAATTAATCGAAGCATCAGACAAAAAAAGCTTTTGAAAATAATATTATATTTTGGTTTAGGTCAAAATATAATATTTGTAAACCTGAAGAGTCAGTGCCAGTGCCTCACCAGCCATGAACCTCACTGCACGTCACTGCAGAAGCTTATATATAGATATCTAAGTTTTTTGTGCCCCACCACTTTTGTACATATAAAAACGCCACTGATTATATGTATATTATCATTAATACATTTATTATTACTATAATTATTAATACTATTATTTTTTATAACTTTTATTATTATAATTATGAATACTAAAATTATTACTATTCTTTTTTA